TATGGTCTCCAAGCCAACACCGTTCTACCCAATTACTCCAGACTCTGTCTCGATGAGTGTAGCCCAGGCTATGCTTGGTTCACACACTCCTACACCTGTCTATGACACCACTACTGTTCCAACCGACTGTCTTATTAGCCTTGTGGCTGACTCCAAGCTCTCTGCAGCTAGCCTTGCTCGCCTCTGGCACCGCCGTCTCGGCCATCCAGGCGTTGATGCCTTCAACCAAATGACAAAGACAAATCCCGAGCTTATGCTCTTCAAGGCCAAGCACCTTCGTGGTCCACTATGTGAATCTTGTGCTTATGCCAAGTCCAAGCGCAGTCCTTTTGACTCATCTGCGGTCTTCCGCGCGACCTCTTACCTACCCCTTGTACACTCTGATGTTTGGGGCCCAAGCCCGATTTTGTCGGCGGGTGGCGCTGCCTACTTTGTCGTCTGTATCGACGATTACTCCCGCTTTATGTGGACCTACCCCATGCGATTTCGCAAAGATCTCTATGAGACCTACGAACTATTTCGTACGGACGCCATGACCATTTTTAAACATGATGTTTGTGAGCTGTGCCACTCATCACCTATGGACATCGGCACTCTTCAAAGCGACAACGCAAAAGAGTACGAGAAACTCGGGCGAATTATCAAGCCCAAGTACAACACTCGGGTGGCATTCTCCAACGCTTACTCCCCCCAGCAAAACGCTGCTGCCGAACGCCGTATCGGCATTGTTGTGCAAAAGATGCGAGCTATGCTCATTAAAGGGGCTCTGCCCAAGTTCCTATGGGCTCTTGCCCTTGATTATGCCTCATGGCTTATCAACATTTCTCCTTCGGCATCCAACAAAGGTGTTTCTCCCTACCACGTCGTCTTTAAACGACACCCATCTTTGGGTCACATCAAAACCTTTGGTTGCACCGCGTTTGTGCACATTCAACGTGGCGTGCAATCATCCAAGCTCGATCCTCGTGCCGTCAAGGCCATGTTTGTGGGTCTCCCACATGATCGAAAGGGTTATACCCTCATGCATTTGCACTCTCATTTATTAATTTATTCTCGAGACGTCACCTTCTGGGAGTCCGAATTCCCAGCCATCAACTCTGTTGCTGCTGCTGCGGCGTATCGCCAAAAATCCGCCACCGACCCCAACTTTATTCCTACCTTGGAACCCAACGCTCCATTGCCGCCGCTGCACTCCATCATTACCAACAGGCCTAGTGCCTTCCTCTATGACAAGCCTTTGGCTTCGTCGCCACCTGTTCTTTCTACAGAACCCCCGTCGTCGCGACCCATCCCAGCACTTTTTGTGCAAGTACCCAAACGAATTCGAGATGTCTTTTCGGCATTTTCGTTGACCAGTCCGGTCTTTGGCCCAACTGCCACTCCTTTACGACGATCCTATGGTCGCAACCAGTCTGCCTTTTCGTCCCATCCATCAACAGCCTTGTCGGCTAAGCCATCAATGGCCAAAACAACACTTGACTTTATTAGTCATTATTCAAGTTGCCTCCTCATGGACACAACTCCTTTGGAGTCACTTGACACCTTCCACAACCACATGCACCATGCACTCGTGCTTGCGCCGTCCTTACCACCTTCGAGCTCTGCTCCTACTTTGGCTCCTATGGAACCAGTGTTCGTCTATGCTTTGCTTGCCGACCGTGCAAACAACAACGACCCCAAAGACTGGCGTGATGCTATGTCCCGCCCTGACCGCGACAAATGGCATATAGCCGCCAAGTCCGAATACGAGTCTTTACTCTCTAATGGCACTTATGTGCTCGTCAAACGTCGTCATGACGAAACGGTTCTACCGTGTCGATGGGTCTTTCGACTCAAAGCCGATGGCACTTACAAGGCCCGACTTGTCGTCAAAGGGTTTATGCAACAAAAAGACATCGACTACACGGACATTTTTGCTCCTGTTGTTCGACTTGAAGTCCTACGCTTCCTATTTGCCTTAGTGGCC